ATGATGGGCTGACCTGACAGAATGACAGAATGCCCACTCATCCTGCTCTGCCAGCGAGGGCACTACAGGTATGGCCAACAGGGCACTCTGAGACACCCAGCCAAGACGTGATCTCAGACTTTCCTGCTATCCAGTGATTACCAGGCTCCCTCAACTAATTACCCTGTGCTTCCCTACAGGGGGAGTTACAACAAAGTCTCCATGGAGTTGTCACCTGACAGGGTACAAGGGATCCCTGAAAATGGAAATGGCAGCCTTGACTCTCTCCACCCATGGGGCAGGTTGCAGATTCATTGAATTCCATACAGAAGACTTTTCAGGACAACTCAGTAAAGGGCATAAAGAGATTTATTGGGCAGAATTCTAAAAGTATAAATTCAAAGAAAGAGTACAGGCTCCAAGAGAGAATGAGGCACTTTGTGGTCTAAAGCTGGGTGTGTTACTTTTCTCTCGTTGCTAAAAAAAAATACCCACAATCCAAAATTAGAGGGGAAGGGGTTTATCTGGCTTACAGTTCACAGATGTTTCAGTCCATAACTGGCTGGCTCCAAGGCAGGGATGACAAATAGGCATCGCAGAGGAGAAACAACGTGGCGCGCACCAGGTAGCAAAGGTAACAAGAGAGTGACCTGAAGAGTGGGTTTCTACCTCTTTTATCCCATCCAGACTTCCGGGATTACGGCAGTGCTAAATCAAACCACTCACTCACATGTTGTGGTTTAGTAATCACAGGCCCTTAATCCTAGCATCACACATTCCAGATTTAGCCACCTCAAATCGAATGAGAATTTGTGGGGGACATCCAGACCCAAACCACAACACTGCTTATCTTTATGGAGATTTGAGGGAGGAAATCTGGGAACTTGTGAACCTGTGGAAAGAGATGATTTGATTTACAGATAAAAGATAGAGACCTTTTCTGCAGAGGAAAGGTGACCACTCATTCACAGGTGACAAAAGTCACAGGCAATAGAGCACAGTCTAACCAAAAGGGAAAGACTCTTTTTACAGGGGTAAAGGAACGGCCTGTCCAGGGGTGGAAATGCCCACTTATACAGAAAAAGGATGGTCAACACCTCTTTACAAGAGAAAACAAAGACCCAGGCTTACCTTAGGGATTTTACTGGGTTTGAGGAAGGGTAGAAGGAATAAAGTAAAAAAGACAAGGAAGCACTTAACTAAAAATTGTACTTTAAAGAAGACTGCAATTTCCAGGCCTCACAGTGGGTGATCTACAGAAACATTTCCTTGGTTAAACTTAGGATCCTTTTCTTCCAGACCCACCACACCCAAAACTTCTCAGAATGAGAAAGTAAAGAAAAGGAATCTAAGAGAAAGGAATAGGATGAAAGAACCCAAAGAATGTTTAAATTACTTGTCTTTTTTTAAAAAAAAATTGGGCTCATACCTGTAAAATGGGCTAGTACCCTTTCTCAAGGGATGGGCCACCTTTTTCTGGGGTTTCCACCTCCTTCAGGAGAATCATAAATGATCGTATTTCCAGAAAGTGTGTGTGTGTCTCTCTCTCTGTCTCCCTCTCTCCTCTCAGGCCTGTACTTTTTCTTTTAATTTCCACCTAAGAAAATCCTTCCTATGCCTCTTACTGACTAGGCCTGAAAATTCTTTTTCTAAGACAGGAGTCAGTGAATCTGCAGACTTATTTTATGGGGAGGGTAGGTTATGTTCTTTACCTCAGCTTCAGGAATCTCAGTGTGGTGACAGATTTGTATCCTAAAGCTGCAGTTTTTCTTAAAAGTACAATTTTACAATTACAGTTTTCTTCGTGTCCTTTCTATGTACCTTTATTTTTTCTATCCTACCTCAGAGTTAGGTGCTGCTAACCACATGGGATTAGTCATGCCTTGGTACTCAACTGACTGCTCTGAAACTCCTGAAAGTTGGTACCAGACCCACTTCAGGGTGAAAATCTTGTCCCGGTACTCATGGTTTGGTGGTTTGGTATTCAACGCACCTTCTAGAACTAGAACTCGCCTCTGACTCACTGCCTTTTCTAGCCCAATGTGTTTGGTACTGGTCATCTTCAGTGCTCCTGCACCCCGGGAAGCAGTTAATGAGGAGCACTGGTACGGCTGTGGGCCGTGAGCTGCACTCACTCACAAACTGTGGGAAAAGGACGGTGTCTCCTGCTAGAGGAGTCTGTTGAACAAATGAGCAAAGGGAAAGGAGTTGGGACTACATTTAGATAACTTCTGAGATACAGGGATTTAAAAAACTATATCAACATTGATACTTTGATACTATATTGATACTATATCAACATTGAGATATGGCATCAACTGAAGATGAGGAAAAACAATTGCAAACCCTTTACTTTCAAAGATGTACATTTTCAGGGCTGAGGACACAACTCCCAGCTAGAGCACTACTGGCCTAGCATGAGCCAGGCCTTCAAACCCATAACAAGACGCACATCTTCAATGCCCAAGTGAGACTACACAATCATGAGAGTAGTTTTTCCATCATGGAACAAGATATACTGCAGCAAAATGTTGTTGTTGTGGTAGTACGGCGGATCGAACTCGGGCCCCTGCACTTGTGAGGCAGGAGGCGGAACCACTGAGCTAAATCCCTGGCCCAAAGGTATTATTTTAAACAGCAAGGGTGACTACTAGTGAGCGCCTAGCTTAATTTAACAAGCATTTGACTGAGTTCTTGCAAGTAAGGAGAATCAGGTGTAAGTGAATTAGGTAATTTTAGAGGCTCTCACTTTTTAAAGGTAACTTTCACTAACTTCCTCTAAAAAACACATTCCTTACATTTATAAAAAGCCTAGATGGGAAGGTAAAATATAAAGCAAGGCTCCGCCTAAACTATCAACCAACACACACAAGATAACCAAGACAACCCAGACCCCAGTGGAAAGGGTGAGCTCTGACTTAGATTGATGTCAAGTTAATCTCTTTTCTTGCCTTGACTTTCATGTCACCATCTCACACAACTTTATCATCTCACTGCTCCTTTGTTCTAAATTGGTCATTAAAAGTAAATATAGGCCAGGGATTTAGCTCAGTGGTTCTGCCTCCTGCTTCGCAAGTTCAAGGTCCTGAGTTCAATTCCCCATACCAAAAAAAAAAAAAAAAAAAAAAAAAAAAAAAAAAAC